TTCTCGCCCTTGAACAGGCCCTTGTTCGGCCGCCAGAGAACGGCTCCCAAGCCGGCTCCCAGCCCCCTTCTCACACCGGCTCCCAGCCCCCTTCCCAAGCCGGCTCCCAGCCCCCTTCCCCTCACGTCTCCCCCGAACGCGGCCGGAAGAAGACACGTGACCGTGTCGAAGCGGACCCCGCCATGGCCATTGACTACAGTCTCCCCCCGTCAAGGCCAACGACCACATCTCGCTCTTCGCCCTGGGCTTCCTCGCCAAGAAGGAGCTCGCCCCGCTTTGGTACTTCACGCGCGACGGCTGAAAGGACGATACCACTCAGCAGCACACGGCCATCTCGCAAGGCCCCTCGCTCAGCCTCGAGGGAACTCTCGACGAGGCCACCAACACTCTGCGCCTGTCTCGCGCCATTGGAGGCGGGAAGCGCAGTCGTTTTGAGCGCCGCGATCATGACTTGACGTATGTCCAACTCACCGAGGCCAAGCACGAATACTGCACCGCGCTCAAGAACTGCATCGTCGACGGCAAGCGCGTCTACTCCGACGCGTTTATCAAGATGCACCGTAAATTCTTCGGCAAGCTCGAACGCCATGATTACCGCATCAGCGACCCGGAGGCCGGATGGCCCGCGCTCGCCACATACATGGAGCTCGCACGGGTGAACCTCCACGAACGCCTCCTCTCAAAGCTCCCGCTCCCCTACATCGGGGACCTCGACGAAAGCCGCATCACGAGCATTTATCAGCAAATCCAAACCCGGTTGTTCGCCGAGCAGCGCGCAAGCAGCGCGTAGAAGCGGCTCGCCCGGTGTCCAATGTATGTATTTTGTTATCAGTTTCAAACCAGTGCTGATCTCTTCTTTTCATACATCTTTTGCGCACTGTGCATCTTCACTTGCCTCACGCACACCCCACGCGCGCGCGCTGTTCTACCACACTCAACGGCTTGCGCGCGCGCCCCACGCGTTCCCATACGCCCCACGCGTTTTCCCATACGCCCCACGCACCATACATTTCGTGCCCCACACCCACGCGTCCACCATACGCCCTGCGCCCACTGCGCTCAACCCCACACACTGTGCACCACATACCACGCGCCACGCGCCACCACTTTCACGCACATTCAGTCGCCGCGCGATACAACTCCCCCACGCCGAGTACCTCGCGCCCACCCAAGAGCCGATCCGAGCAAGGTGCTGAGAGCACTGCAACCTCGTCCAACACGGTTTTTGGCCCTGGCGGCGCGTCCTCGACCAGCGCGTGCGCCGTGTGTCTCGGTCGCCACTACCACAATGCCGGGCAATGCACCTCCGCCCAGCTATACAATGCCCCCGCGAGTCCCGCGTTCGTCAAGCGCACTGCAGATGGCAAGGGTTTCACCACCTCTGCCGATGGGAAGATCTGCCTCCGCTTCAACCTCTCCAAAGGCTGCCCTCTCGACAAGGACGCCTGTCAGCGACCTCACATTTGCAGCGGGTGCGGCTCCACTTCCCATTCCGCTCAAGCTTGCCATCTCTCGTATCCGGCTTCGAAATAGCAGCCCACTCAACGCTGATGTCTGGGAGCGCGAACTTCGCGAACTCGGGCTCACCCACAAATATCCCACTCTCGCTCTTTCTCTCCGGCAAGGCTTCATCATCGGCGTCCCCAGCATCTCCATCTCTTTCACTCCTCCCAACCACCCTTCTGTCTCCGACCATGCCACCCACCTCCACGACATCATACACAGAGAACGATCACTCGGACGTTATCTCGGGCCCTTTTCAGCCGCCGAAGTTGAAGCCCAACTCGGCCCTTTCCAAACGTCTCCGTTGTCCATCATCCCGAAACCCCACAAACCCAATTCTTTCCGGCTCATACAAAACCTCTCATACCTCACGAACCGCGCGACGGGGTGCGCTCCATCAATTCCGCCATGGATGCTAGCATGTATCCTGGCACGTGGGGTACGTTCTTTGTCATATCGCTCATGTACGCAATGCTCCCACCGGGCTCCCAAGCTGCTGTCCACGACATCCGTGATGCCTACCGCACGGTTCCCCTACACCCCTCGCAGTTTGCCGGCGTCGTTGTCCGCACAGGCCATGACTCTTATGAGGTCGACACATGCGCCATGTTCGGGGGGCGCAACTCGGGAGGCGCATACAACCATGTCGCGGACGCAGCCCTGGACATTTTTCGCGCACGCGGGCTCGGCCCTGTTTTACATTGGGTGGACGATCACCTGTGGGTCCGGGTTCTCGTGGCCATGCTCGATGAGGCCAACCAGCGGCGCGCCGCTGCGCGCCAGCGTATTCACGTTCATGGAGCCAGGCACACTCGCGGTGCCCGTCTATGGTGGACAGGGTCCACCCTCCCTGATGGTCGCATTGAAGAATTCGTCGAGGACTTCTGTTCTCCTCTCCGCGACTTCTCGCATGACTCCCCTCGCCCGTCCGCTGAGTCCAAATTCACTTACACCTTCGCAGACATCGACAACCGGTCACTTCCCATGGGCTACTGCTGGGCGCCCGAGAAGGACCAACATTGGACATCATCCCCCGTTTACACTGGTTTCGTCTGGGACCTCGCCATTGGAACCGTCGCCTTGGAGCTTAAGAAGCGGGACAAATATGTCTCCGTCCTCAACCTCTTTCTCATCACACCCGCACCCGCTCACGACCTCCTTTCCATCCAAAGCTTGTACGGCAAGCTCCATCATGCCAGTCTCATCATTCCAGATGGACGTTCTTACCTTACTGGACTGGAAGTCGCTCTTTCCAATGGAGCTGACCGTCCTCACGTTGCCCGACACCTCCCGAAGTTCGCGCGAGAGGACCTCCGATGGTGGCGTCGACGACTTCTACACGGAACCCTCTCCCGTCCCATCCCAGTCCCGGTTGAGGTTCACCACCTCCATGCCTACTCCGACGCGTCCTCCGGCATTGGAGTCGCCATCGTCATCTTCGGACGTTGGCGAGCATGGCGCGTCCTCCCCGGGTGGGACACAGACGGTCGACACATCCAGTGGCTCGAGGCCGTTGGCTTCGAGCTCCTCGTTCTTGGACTTCTACGACTCGGCGGCTCACCACCACACATCTCAGTCCATGGCGATAACTCCGCGGTTATTGGCGGCTGGGCGCGCGGTCGACACCCCAACCGCTGGGTCAATGACTGCTTCCGCAGGCTCCACGTTGTCCTTGCCTCCGCGGGGGTCACCATTCACACCCACTACGTCGAGAGCGCCTCCAACCCAGCTGACGATCCCTCCCGAGGCATCTACGGCCCAACAAGTTGCCTCCTCCCACCCATTGACATTCCAGAGAGCATCGCGCAATACTTCGTCGACTGGGACGCTGCCCCTCATCCGCAGGAGCCCTCAGCCCAGCGCACACCCCTACCCAAGCCCGAACGCTCCGTTGAGCATACCAGTGGGAGCCTCTGCGATGCGGAGCACACCGCAAGCGTCTTGCTTGACAATCCCGCATTCTTCTGGGATGCCATCGACTCGCTTTAATTGTGTTTTGCCTCCACGCCCCACCGTCACTCCCCGACCTTATGCCGCCGACCTCTCTCCCCAGCCTAACCCTCACCGGCCTCATGTCGCTGCGAACCAACGTCTCACCTCATGGTCACCCTCGTTCCCTTTTTCAGCAGCCGACGAGCCTGGTTCCTCGTCCGTTGATGAGCGAACTGCAGACGTTCTATCTCGTGGACTCGACTCATTGACTGCTACGACCTATGGGTCAGGGCTTCTTCTGTTCCACGTTTGGGCAGATATCCACTCTGTCCCCGAACAACTCCGTGGGCCTGTTCCGGAGTCAGTTCTTCTCGTCTTTTTGTCCTCTCTTGTCGGTGCATACTCCGCCTCCGCAGTCCGCAACACGAGGGGTCTCAGTGCCAGGGTTGCAACCAAAGCCCTGTAAGGTGCATGGTTGCAACCATGCAACGGTTGAAACCGTAGTATGGTTGCAACCACACCACAGTATATATTACCACTACTACACATCCATAATGAATGCAAATAACAATGTGCAAGTTGTGATGATCGCTTGAACATTGACATCTCATAGTCAAAATGAATATCGAATACATGGGTCGAACTCGCGACCTGAACAATGACGCTAACCAGAACGCTTTACCACTACGCCACGAGACCTTGCTTCTCTGCACGGGTCCTTTAACTATGACATCAACTCCGCTACTAATACACCATAACAACTCTGTAGTCTCATATGAGTTCAATTACTATGGCACCCTAATGCCTCTTCTTACTCCATGCTTCCTAATGCCATTGCAGTCTGCTTTCGAATTGTATTGAAGTGTGCTGTACACAGGTCGAAACCATGGTGTGGACCTACCGTTCGGTACGGTTCAAATGGGGCTGAGTATGGTTGAAACCACAGCACGGTTCAAACCGTCGTATGGTTGTAACCGCGGCAAGGTTGTAACCGTACCGTGGTTACAACCTTGCCGCGGTTACAACCATACAGTAGTTACAACCTTGCCACGGTTTGAACCGTGCTGTGGTTACAACCTTGCCGCGGTTTCAACCATACGACGGTTTCAACCGTCCTGCGGTTTCAACCGTGGCACGGTTACAACCATGGCACGGTTTGAAACCGTCGTATGGTTGAAACCGCGGCACGGTTACAACCACAGCACGGTTACAACCATGGCACGGTTACAACCATGGCACGGTTACAACATCTGAGCATGCGACATCATTAAGACACCGACGTCATTTGAGGCACGCCCGGGGTGGCTGTGCCCTGGGCGCGCCTCGGGGCCTGAGCTCGAGTCCGAGTTTCTCGGACTCCGGCGTTCTTTGCGCACGCCCAGCGCCCGGGCCGCTCCCCGCCCCGGTTTTCTCGCGCCTCCGCTACGCCTGCGCGCGCGGCGCTCAAGTTCGCGTTCTTCCTCTGTCTCCTCACTTCCCTCGCTCGTTCTCTCTTTCACTCTCTTCGCTCTTCGTTCTTCGCTCTTCGCTCTTCCCTCTTCGCTCTCTCTCTCGCTCTCGTCACCATGCCTGCGATGCACCCCAACCACAGAGAAGTGAGCGTTCATTCTGGTGCAGATCGCGCGTGCTTACCTTTTCCGCAGGTCCTCGAGGATATGATCCACACACGCCACTCCAAGCTGACGCTTGGACGCATCGAGGAGGTGAGCATTCCGTTCATTATCTCTACGCAGCGCTCACCTTCGCCTTCAGGCTCTGCATTACGGTCTCGGCGCCGAGGTGGTTCGCCGGGACAACACGATCATCGTTCGATTCCGCGCGGGTAGGTGCCGTGTGCTCGCCGCGAACGACAACGTCGAATCTTTTCACGCGGTATGTCGTTCCGTTTCGCATTCGGTTCGCGCGCACGGCTGACACGGCTTCATAGCCTCACGACGGCAGAGGGAACGTTAGTGCCCACCACTCTCACCTGTAAGTCATCGCACCCTGCGCGCGCGACCGACGACGAGACACTTTACAGAATCGGGCGTTGGATAGTGAAAAGCTTCAACTTCGAAGCCAAGCGTTTCAAGCACTGGGAGTGGGACCTGATGTGCCGTCGTCAGTGGCAGGCGCCCGCTTGAACGCCGAGTAGCCCGTAACGTACCGTACCGTAGCTTAAACTCTTCGTAATGCTTTGAATCACACGTACATCTTTTTTGCCTTGAAATTCTGTAGTATTAGTTCATGTTCGGTCATGTACAGTACTTGGATGTCACCCATCAAATATATTTCGTCTCCCCAGCCATGTCCGTTCACACTGTCATGGCAGTGAGCCCGAAGGCGCTTTCTCGCCCCCGCACGCGTCTCCAAGAGGCGCCGTGGTCAGCGATAACAATATAAGAATCAGTGCTCCTCTAAATGGTGTAATAGCGGGGCAAGAGGGAAGGCGCCGCGCGACTTGAATGGTGAACACAACATGCAGCGCATGTCCAGCGCACTTGCACTCATGATTGCAGATATCTCTCATCGCGTTGTAACGGCGTGAAGAAACCTTCCTCGTCCGGACCGGCGTTGGACGTGCGCAAGAATGCGGTCACCGTAATATCATAGCGACCCAGGGTCTGTTGCCCACAGACGCCCGCAGAGCCGCGTCCGACTTTCTCGGACAGCCCGCCGGCCCGTCTGCTCCCGCTCGTTCTCGTCCTTCGCGTCTACCGTCTCGTCTCGCTCTCGCTCTCGCTCTCTTCGCTCTCTTACTCTCTCGCTCTCTTCCACTCTCTCGCCTCTCTCGCTCTCGCTCTCTTCCGCTCTCTCGCTTTCTCGCTCTCTCGCTCTCTCGCTCTCTCGCTCTCTCCCTCTCTCGTTGTCGCCCACCCTCCCGCTCTTTCGCACTTCGCACATTTCCCTCGTCATTCAGCCTGACAATGAACAAGAATAACGCGCACGTACGCACCTTGTCAGCAACATCTTCATTCTGCTAATGATGAGTAGATCTTCAACGTGATCTACGGCGTCGTCGAGCCGGAAGATATCAAGTTCAAGGACTTCGAGAAGGCGATGAACAGCCTGGGCGCGCGCAAGAGCACCGGCGGAGGCTCTGTTCGATCATTTACGGCAGCCTGTTGGAAAGGCACCGTGCACGTACACCAGGTCAGTCTCACTATTTCGCGTGCTGTCCCTCGTCGCCGACCAAAATGCCAGCCACACCCGTATGACCACTACACGAAGAAGAACGCCGGGAGGCTCAAGGTGAGCGAAGGCTGTCTGCGACGCATAGACTCGATGCTCACCTTGTCCAGGTTCAGTTGGAGTCCAGTGGATTGACCCACCGGGTCATTCGCCGTGAGGCCCGCAAGGCCGGCATCTTCATCCCGAAGCTGCCGTCCCAGTAGAGTAGTTTCCTAGTCTCAGTTTGCTTCGTTTAAACCTCGCCGGGTTCGATAATCTCGGATTGCCGAAGTGCGGGCGCGGGCGCGGGCGGACCGGCCTGGCGACTGAGCGTTATGTGCCGTCGTCAGCGGCAGGCGCCCGCGTGAACGCCGAGTAGCCCGTACACGACCTTTGTTCGTAATGCTTTGTATGACACGTCCGTTGTGTTTGCCTTGAACATTTCTAGTATCAGTTGAAGTCTCGTACTTGAATGTCACACCCATGAAATATATTTCTCCCCAGCCCCGTCCGTTCCCGCTGTCACAGTGACGCGGCCCTCCCGCGTGTCGGTCGCGGGCAGGAGGAGGTGTTATGGGGGCCAGTGCGGGTGGCAGGCCGCCGCCGCCCCGGCCGGGTGAGCGCGCAGAGCACGTTGATCGGAGCGCGCTCGCAGGTGCCTCT